AAATAATAAATAATAAATAATAAATAATAAATAATAAATAATAAATAAAAAATAAATAATAAAAATAATAAATAATAAAAATAAACAACAAAAAAATAGAAATAATAAATAATAAATAAATAAACAAAAAAAATAAAAATTATAAATAAATAAAAAAAAAATCTAAAAAAAAAACAAACAATATATTATATAAATAAAATAAAAATAAGAAATAAATCTTAAAGCTGGCTTAACAACCGAGTAGACATATGCAGAGTTTAACTCACATTTCTACAGGGTATACTCTAGGCGTATACTGACTGGACAGCTCTGCCAAACGATGGCAAAGATTGTTAACTGGCGCTGCTGCTGCTGCGACTGCGACTGCGACTGCGACTGCCCCCAGTCGTTCAGTTGAATACAAATGCAAAGCCGAAGCTGAACCTGTTGACTCTTTGTCCGTGCTTGTCGTTGCTTTGCGGTAGGAGACTTGTGAATTTTCATGGGCGGCATTAAATCAAAATCGGTGCTTTGTGCTATCGATTTCGTTGCCAATTTAGCAGATCTATCAATGGCCGGCAATCAATCAATTGCCTCGAACTGCGAATTCCGTAACAAAGCGTTTAACTGTCGACCGATTGCAGCAGCAACGGAGCCCAACTGGGCTAAATGGCCGAATTGTCTGCGCTTTTGGGCCAATTGACGGCCGACTATAAATGTCGCATTAGTGGCCCCCTCAATTGCAATGGATGCCAATCAAGTGTGGGCTATTCAGTCAAGACGGCCTCTAGCCGACAGCCAGTTGCCTCTGCCGTGAGCTCACCTTATTGGACAATGGGTCAATCAGGAAGCCGTTCCCAACCAGTTTTAGACGGCGATGCCTCATTTAAAAACCGTCAATATCAATTCATATTTCTCAGTTTGTATTCAGCTTAAGATTAACAAAAAAAATTGATCACTTTTAACATATAAAATCATTTAATAAACAAACAAAAAAAAAAAACTTGGAACTTAGAAATAATTGGAAAACATTGCAGATGCTAGCCAAACTCCCTGTTTGAACTTGAGCCTGAGGCCGTTTACCAGCCCTTGTTCCAGCCCGAACCACCGGAGGAGCGAGCGTAGCCGCCCGAGTAGCCACCATAACCACCGCCGCTGGAGTAGCCGCCGCTCTGTCCCTGGTTGACCACCTCCAGGATGACGACCTTGGATGGAGCTGAGTAGGCACGAGATGGGCCAGCAGAGTAGGCGCGGGCTGGGCCAGCAGAGTAGCCGCCGGAACGTGCGCCCGAGTAGCCGCCACCAACAGCGCCTCCGCCACCAAGCTTGCTGGCGAGTCCGCCGCCAAGTCCACCACCAAGTCCACCGCCAAGTCCTCCGCCAAGTCCTCCGCTCTGACCGCCGCCCAGACCGCCGCCAAGACTGCCCAGTTTGCTCTGCAGCAGCTGGACAATGCCGCCAGCACCACCAGCGCCATTGATATTGCCACCGCCGCCGCCGCCGCCACCACCGCCCAGGAGACTATCGAATGTGGCCTGGCTGCCGGCCAGCAGGGCAACAAGGATAACGAAGATGCATGCGAACGGTTTCATTTTGCTCTAAGCTCGGATCTCGAAGACGATCTGAATTTTGATTTGGATATGGTGCTCAAGACAAACAGAAGCGTTGACTACCTCTACAGCCATGATGCCCACAAGCATTTATACCAAAAAACGTGCACGGAATCAATACTCTAAGCCAAAATACGAGTATCGCAAAGCATGAATAAATCAATAGCACGCTTTTCAATGCCCAGCATCAGCAACAGATTCAGCCTCACAGGGAGTAGATAGAGCAAGTGCTGATGCGTAGAGATGGGCGCGTGAGAGCAGCAGAGACACGAGCGCACGAATTCGATACAGAGATGAACTCTTAAGATTTGCATATGCTTGAAGATCTAAGGCTGCAGTTGAACTCACGAACGCTCGTGCCACGAGCTTGACTTCAGCAATTAGTTGCCTTTGATCGTTTAAGCAATTAATAGAATTAATAACCCACATTGATGTATGTATGTATACATATGTATGTGCGACGATGCTGAAGATATTTTGAGCAGCTGCCGACGGGCCTTTGTTTGCTGATTGTCTCCGATAACTATGCAAATCTTTACGCATGCGCGACTTGGACTTGGTCATTGTGAATACCCTAGAATCGGCGAATAAGCGTTGGGTATGCTATATAATTATGTTGAAGGGCAATCAGAGTAGTGTCAAAAAGCTTTTACATGAAATTGAGTTGAAGAAAAATCAAATTTGATTCATAAAAATATTAAAAATATTTATATTTTATTAAACAAATCGCAGCTTAAGCCAATTTTAAATAGAGAGCAAATATAACAAAGATTTCTCTATATAATATTTCTAATAAATAAGAGGAGTATTCTCGACGCCATTCACTCCTGCCAGAAGAGGGTATATGCCAGTCATCAATCAATTCCACGCATGTTCGGCATCTGCTCAAATATTAGTTAGCATCGAGCTTGGGCCACAAATCAAACAAATTAACGCCGTTTGATCGCATGAGCACTGTAAGACCTAAAACAGAGTATCAACAAGCAATGGACAGTTTGTCAAGCTGAGCTGAGAGCTTGCACAATTGATAAATGATATTTTGACAGGCCACTCAAGCAGTAGACATCAGCTCTTTAGCTCTTCAGCTTGTCAGCTCTTTGGCTCGGCCGTTGTTCTGCTCAAGGTCTGCCAGCGGGCAGATGGAAGCTGGCGAAACGACAAAACTGTAACGATAGATCAAGTAATCAGGAAGCGAGTAGCTACTGACCGGAGCGCTACAGTTAGTATCGAGCATAGGCTTGACCCACTGTCAGAACGTTCCCATCAGCATCATCGTTTAAAAATAGGCGCAATCCAGAACCGGTTCTTGGACAAGCTCATGCTCCACGTTTAGGCGCTGTCAATGTTTTGGCACATATTTGCATAGCCAATAGACTTGTCAGTATGTATAGACATACATATATACAGACTTAGGCACATACATATGTATACATACATAGCGAGGCCTATGTACCTTACTTATAGAGACTGACAGCTTGCCAAGTTCAATGCACTTTGAGGCTTAAAGAATATTTATGCTAAGCTACGCTTCTATGGGGGGTGTTTAATAAAACGACAAAAACTAGCTATATTTGATTATTATTTATGGAGCGAGATATATGTATATGTATATGCTGCGTGTCAGCTGTAACAATTGATTCATTAGCCATATCGATTAAGGAAATCTTCAGTTCGCCTTTGATATATGCCAATTAGGCAACTCTTAAGGTCAGCTATAGAATAATTCCCTATTTCCTATAATTGATATGTTTACTTTAATTTTTTTTTCTTTCGTTTTTCGTCAAATATTACAATAACAAAAAGACAAAATAATATTTACCAGTCAAACATTTTTTTTTCGTCTCTAGCTTAACTTAATTTATTCACATTGAAATTGAAAAAAAAAAAACACACACAAAAATATACTAATAATGAAGTTAATTATGTGTAGAAAGAGTAAAACAATAACGGAACTTCTTCTATTAACAGCTATACGATATATACCTATAAAATAAATAAAACCATAATAAATAAAAGTGATAATTTCCAGCTAATTTAATGCTATACGAAGCATCCGCAATGGACTGATAACTCGAGTTTTACGAGCACTTAAATTATATACATATATTCATTATAATATTAATTAAAGTTGTTAAAGTGAATAGCAAATGATTTATAAAATGTGATTTAAGCTAAGTACAAAGAAAAAAAAGCTGTGATGTTTATTATTTCGCATTGCACAACATCTTGGCTGAAACTGAAACAAATCTAGCTAGCTTTACGATCTGTATCTAAGGTCACATTATATATTCACACATCTGTATATATGTATATACACAATTTTTTTTCTTTCGACGCTTAGTTGTTTCGCCTTGTATTCGGCAATATTCTTAACCTGTTTTTCGTTTGTTTGTATTTTTTTTGCGTTTTTTTTGGGGGGGCCTCACGGGTCAAAAATTAAGAGAAAAAAAGTCATGTGCCTTTGTTATTTCAGCACGTTCATTAGATCGACCTACAGATGGGGATAGATTCGTTGGGCTGGCGCGTAACACGTTTCGTTACAATGGAACTATACTTCCATTACAGCCACAGCCGCGACAGATATCGTAAAAAGTAGTTCCCATCGCATGCATCGCCTTCAATTCGAAGGCTTTCATCAAATTATCATATTTAATTATGCACTAACTCGTATAAAATTACTGGCCAAATGCACAAATGCATAAAAGTGAATGCAAACTTGCAGTTTATGAAGTCATCTTTTCATCTTTTGTTTATCTATTTTTTTTTTTTTTTGGTGGTGGTCTCGCCGTCGCAAACATATGTGAGAGAGGGGCGTTTTATTGGTTCATAGAAAACTGTCTGTTCATGACAATGATGAGGATTTAACTAAAACAGTTGATTATTATATAACTCATACTATACTACTATATACCAATACGACGAAATACGATCCTACCATTATAGAATACTATTATGCTCCAATACCATACTCTATACCTTATAGTATTCTTCTATCGTACTATATGTAATTATTCTATTACTTTACAATTCAACCATACACAATACATAACTAAATACTGCCAATATACTCTACTGTATACTACTGCTACTATACTACAATATCTATCTACTACTATCTACTACTATTGCTGTACTATATATATATAGTAGTATACAATATCAGTATACTACTACTATCTACTAAAGCTATTATACTGTACTACTACCACTACTACTATTACTATCCTATACTATCTACATACTTATACTACTACAATTACTATCCTATACTATCTACATACTTATACTAATATCACTACTACTATTACTATACTATACTATCTACATACTTATACTACTATCACTACTACTATTACTATACTATACTATAGTATCTACATACTACTAATATCTTCTACTAATTCTACTTCTACTATTACTATCTACTACTAATACTACTTCTACTATTACTATCTACTACTAATACTACTACTACTATTACTATCTACTACTCATACTACTACTACTATTAACATCTACTACTAATACTACTACTACTATTACTATCTACTACTCATACTACTACTACTATTAACATCTACTACTAATACTACTACTACTATTACTGTCTACTACTAGTACTACTACTATCTACTATCTCTTCCTAACACAATATCACACTATCTAAATTTAATTACTATTTGCTTCTTCTACTATACTACCTACATACTAAACTACTATTTACTACTACTACTCTACTATTCTATCTATATACTACTACTATCTGCAACTACTGCTACACTAGACTATTATTACTACAGCTAATAGTAGTAGACGACGCTAACACTCTCCTTTACTATCTACTGATACAATATACTATAAAAATACTCAATAAATACTCTCAATTGTCTCAACATTCAATTGAGATTTTCATTGTCTTTCGTATTTTCCCATGATATTCATTTCACTTTGCCTGAAACTAATGTATTTCTACTTCAATTAGAGTTCATCACTAACATCGCATTCAGTTAGCTTTCGATCCACCCTCGCCAGGTACCCAGCATTGTCATTATAGGGTTGCGGAATTGATGACACTCATAAACTACAGCTGGCGCAGAGTAATAATTAAACCTAATGCAGCCGTGCGGCATATATTATAAATTCTGCTCGCACTTAAGCAAGCCATACCTATGTGAATCCATGTGTGTGTGTGTGTACTTTAATCTATATATGTACGTGTGCAAAGCACTCTGCGCTGTAATCGATTTGCATAAACGATTGTCAAGCTAAAGCTTCCCAGAGCAATTACGTACACATAAATAACTATCCATATTTGCAAATCCATATATTTGAATGTGTGTGCCTCTATGGGCATACACATATGTGCAAATGCTAATTGATGGGAATGCAAAACATATAAATCGAAATTGCTGAAATAGAATAAAGGCAGCGCTAGCCCATAAATATGAGGCCATAATTGCAGCCACGTTCATTAGAATAATCCTGTTTGGAAACAGTTACAGAGCCAACTCGGTAGCTGAGAGAAGGGCATAAGACTTCAATTAAGCCATGTTGCTAATGTGTAGTAAAAAAAATAGCAAATGTCATATAGCTATACAATTCTATAGATATTTAATGTTAATTGTAAATAAACTAAAAACAAATAATCTAAAAAGTTTGTTGAAAACTCAGGTTTAAATTCCTGTTTACTCAAAAAACAAAAAATATATACATACTTTAATTTTATCAATTTATTAGTAAAAAAAATTAAAAATTTAATATTTTTTCCCCAATGTTCATTAATATTTATATTAATATCTTTTACATATTTTTCGTAAAGAACTTCTCTGTCCTTGAGCTTGGCCGCCTTAAATCGAATGTATTTTTCATTAACCAATTTTAATTTATTGTTTGCTACATACATTACAAAAAAAAAAATAAATAAATATTTTTGATCATCACTCAATGCCGCCATGTAAAGTTTACTTGGTGTTTAAGATAGACATGCAATGCGGCAAATATTTGCTAGCTGGCAAACCAGTTGAACAGCACCAAAACACATCAATTGCAAATACACAAACTGGGTGGAAAATAAATTCAAAAATAATAAAAATACAATTCAAAATCAACAGCAGTTTGTGTGTATTTACTTATGTAATTATTTTGTGGGCTTGTGGCTAATGGCCAAGGTTCTGGGCACGTTTCATGTGAGACAAGATGACGCCACGTTTCATGTGAGACAAGATGACCATACAGTAGTAGACCACAAAGAAACAAACAAACACGCACACACACACACAAACACACACACGCACACGCGCAGGTTATACTGCTAATTCAATATCAAGCAAATACAAAATGCAAAACGATTCAAACAAAAGCAAACGGCGGAAGCTGAAAATCAAAAAGGCAAAAAGCAAAGTCAAATTCATACACACGTGGAGTGGAGATGGCAATAAATCAACATAAAATACAAACAAAGGCAAACAAAAGCAGCAGCGTAAACAAAGCGATTTAATTGCTAGATGCTTTGCTATCCCAATGCACCAGCTCGACAATCGATTGCAATAGAATGCAGCCTGCTGGACCGGCGCATGCCATGGCTGCTTAGTTTTATCCTTGCCGCGTGACACTGAGCTGTCGCGCCATGGATACCGTTGGGACTGGGGCTCGTCCAAGCCGGAGCTCAACTTTCGCTTTCCATAGCGAAGCGACGCGCTCTGACATTGAACTTCATTAACCCGGCCTGAATGCGGTACAAGTAGCGCGAGATGGTTAAGCGAACAGGTTTTTACCTTTAACGAAAGACTTGAGCAACGAACTTGTCGGCTTAACCGCTGGCGCCATCTGCAGTTAAAGACATTCCGACACGCTGGACGCCCTCTACCGGCCAATTTACGTACTGCCTGAAACGAGCGCACTCTGCAGTTCAAAAGATCATTGAATTGTAAGACGCAAAAGACTTAAACAAAAAACTTGCTCATATATGGCGCCCCCTAGCGTTAGCTAGCTGAAGAAACTAAGCTCTGTTCAAGATAGCTTTTATCGAGCTATGCAAAAGCTTAAAGTACAATAAAAGCTATTCAGCCAATATCAAAGATCTGGCAGCTCTCTTGAATTCAAATTCATTTTTTCGATGAGAGTTAAGCAATTATTTATTCGTTTCGGTTATCAAATTTGTTTTGCAATGCGAGTATTCTTAATCGTTCCACCAGCCAGCACCACCGCGAGAGCCGCCACCGACGGAGGAGCTAGCGCCATGGTTCACAGAATAGTCGAAAGAGGCTGGATTGCCCCAAGCATTGCCGCCGGCACCTCCAGCACCACCTTGCCAGCCACCAGCGCCAGCACCAGCACCACCGCCATAGCCGCCGCCGCGTCCGCCACCAGCACCTGCTCCCTGCCAGCCACCGGCACCTGCACCACCGCCATAGCCGCCGCCGCCGCGTCCGCCACCAGCACCTGCTCCTTGCCAGCCACCGGCTCCTGCACCGCCACCACCATAGCCTCCGCGTCCACCGCCAGCACCGGCGCCCTGCCAGCCGCCAGCACCAGCACCAGCACTAGCACCGGCACCCTGCCAGCCACCACCACCACCGCCGCCGCCGCCGTAGGCTCCGGCACCGCCATGGCCTCCAGCTCCACCTCCAGCACCACCAATGTGCACCTTTGTGTTGCCGTGAGACTGCGAGACATGCGAAATGAGTCCGGCACCATTTCTGAAGCCACCACCACCGCCGCCGCCACCGCCGTGTCCTCCGCCTGGCAGATAGCCACCGCCTCCTGCACCTCCGCGTTGTCCGGCATTAGCCAGAGCCAAGGTGGCTAGCAAGCAGACAAAGACCTGAAAGTGGAAACGTTAGTCGGCCAGCCGCAGGCAGAGTCCTTTCAAGAAATCCTTTTACCTTCATGATGATAATCGAATGATTTGATTTTGCAGTTGGTTTGTTGTTGTTTCAGTAGCTCTCGGTGCGCTGCTCCAAAAGCTTGTGATGCTTCTTGGCTGTCAGGCAGCACAATTTATAGCTGAAAATTCCGTTCAATATTGCTAATGATCTTCGACTTCTAATGGAAAACACATTGGGAAAAAAATAAACAAAGAAAACAACAAAATACTCAAATTAATTGAAAGAAGAAAACAAAAATATCAAAACTTAAAACATAACTAAAAACTAAACCAAGACAAAAAAAAAAAAAAAAAAAAAAAAAAAATAAAAAAAAAAAAAAAAAAAAAAAAAA